CTAACCTGGATAAGCCCAAATTACAGTCATCGGCGTGACCTAAGAAACGATTCATAAGGAACGATTCGTAAGGAACGAAGCTCCATTTTTCCCAGGGAAGAACGCACAAGGAACGATGCATAATACACAACGCATAGGGAACGCTGAATAACGCATGCAAACCTAAGGAACGACCGAGCGCCTTTACAAAACAAATGTTCCTTCTTCAAGCCGCTCATTGTAAGCCTATCAACGACCGCGAAAATACTAGCGCCGATCCAAAGGGTTGCCGGGACCACCTGAGTCGCGCGGCCCTTGCAGTGGGTGGTGGGGCAGGACGAGGGCGAGGACGACAACCACCGGCATCGCCATCATCACAGCAAAGTCCCACCAGCCCTCTGGGCGTCGGTGGTCTAGGGAGTTTCCTCTTCCAACCCCCTTCTCCCCCTTCGGCGAGGGGTTTACCCCTCCCCCTACCCCCTCCCCTGGACCTGGACGGAGGGTTCCGCGGGTCGTTGGGGCGTCCAAAATGGCCCAAGACGGCCCCAAGAGGGCCTCAGAGAGCCCAAGATAGACTCCCAGATGGCTCAAGATAGCGCAAGATGCCGCAAGATGGATCCCAAGATGTTCCAGGAGGCCTAAAGACCGCACCAAGACGGCCCCAAGTGGCCAAAGAGCTCCCCACGGAGCTCCCAGAGAGGCCCAAATCATGCCAAAACGTGAGGAAAACCAATGTTTTTGGTTTTCTCGCTTATTCGTTTCTGATGGCCTTCACAGGCCTCAAGATGGCCCCAAGATTGCCCAAGAGGGCTCCAAGAGAGCCCCAAAAGAGCCCCAAGACGGCCCCAAGAGCGCCCAAGAGCTCTCCAAGATCGCCTGACGAGGGGCTCAAAAAACGATTCGAGGCACTCTAGAAGGGCAAGGCTAATATACGACCCCCCTTTTTTGATTGATCTCCTCCAACATGGCTCCAAGAACGCCCCGAAGGCTTCCAAGAGCGCCCCAAGAGCGCCCCAAGAGGCGCCCAAGAGTCCTCCAAGAGGCTCCCAAGAGACCCCCAACAGGCCCCAAGAGGCTCCCCGAGATACGCAAGAGGACCCCGGGACCGCCAAGAGGCCCCAAAGACGGCCCAAGAGGCCCCCAAGCTCGCCATTGTCCTCCTCCTCCTCATCCTCTTTTTCTTCCTCGTCCCTTCTCCCCCTCCCTCCCCTCCTCCTCCTCCTCCTCCTCCTCCTCCTCCTCCTCCTCCTCCTTCGCCTTCTCCTCCTTCTCGTCCTCCACGTCCTCGCCCTCCTCCATCTCCTCCTCCTCATTTTCCTCCTCCTCCTCCTCCCCCTCCTCCCCCTGCTCCTCCTTCTGCTTCTCCTCTTCCTCCTCCTACTCCGACGACGAAAACTCCTCCTACATCCTCCCCCTCTTGGGGTATATGGCGGCTTACCCCGCCCTTTGTTCTTCTGCATTCTCCCCCGCTTCCCTCATCACCTCCACTCCCCTGGGATACTTTTTCTCAGCGGCCGCGGGCGAGCGCGCCGGCGGCGAGTCCAGTCAAAGCGGGGCACGCAACGACAAATTCACCTAAAGCAACGGAGGGCGGCCTCACCTACAGCGGCTAAGCGGGGCCTCGCGCAGCACCTCAGCGGCGGACCGGCGAATGGAGGGGGCAACTGAAACTGAGTCGTACGGCCAGCATGGCGTCGGAAGAACCAGGTAGGCTGGTGGGGATACTTTTTTTCGGTCGCGTCCGCTAGCGAGCGCAGGCGGAGTCAGAAGCGTTCCGGGACACGGCAACGGCCTAATTAGCTAGCTGGTGGGGATACTTTTTGGTCAGCGGCCACGAATACAGCGGTCATGTGGCGATGGCAACGTCCGGGCCACGGGCGAGGCAAATTTGCAAAACAGAACGCGGCCGGCCAGAGCTGGCTGACATACTGCTAGCACGGGCGCGCGCACTGGACAAAGTGACCAAATTCGAGTGGCCAACGCATGACAGGCGCAAGCACCTTACCACAGTGGGCATGTCTCTGTGCCAAGTGAAAATGGGAAGGCCAATGAAGTGAGTCGCCATTGTGGCGCCAGACTTCAAACAGTCGACTTGCGTAAGCCAGCCAGCTGAGCAGCCGAGAGCTGGTGGGGATACGCGAAGCGTCTAGAATAAATTTATCAGCATCCCCATCTTCGCACAATCTTCATGTTCATGTTCATCCTCATCATCATCATCACCATCATCATCAAACTCATCATCATCATCATCATCATCATCATCTTCATCATCGTTATCATCATCATCATCATCATCATCATCACCATCAGCATCATCGTCATCAGCAGCATATCGATCATCATCATCATCCTCACCATCAGCATCATCATCAGCATCAGCATCATTATCAGCAGCATCATCTCTATCTTCAGCGTCAGACGCATTATCATCATCACCACCATCATCATCATCATCATCATCATCGTCATCATCACCACCATCACAAGCATAATCATTGTCGTGTGCGTGATAATCATCACCATCCTCATCATCCTCATCATGTTCATTATCGTCATCACCATCATCATCACCATCACCATCAGCATCACCATTATCATCATAATCATAATCATAATCATCACCGTCACCATCACCATCCTCATCATCATCAGCATTATCATCATCATCGTCGTCGTCGTGGTAATCATCGTCACTGTCAGAAGCATCAGCAGAATACCATCATCAGCATCAGAATCAGCATTATCAGCAGCATAATCAGCATTATCATCATTATGAGTATCATCACCACCATCGTCATCATCCACACCACCACCACCATGGCCATCGTCATCGTCGTCATCGTAATCAACATCATCATCATCATCAGCATCACCATCATCATCACCACGAATCACCACCATCATCATCACCTTCACAGTCAATATCATGACCCTGATCATCAGCGGCGGCAACAACATTCTCATTATCATCATCATCATCATCATCATCATCATCATCATCATCATCATCATCATCATCATCATCATCATCATCATCATCATCAGAGAGAGCGTGATCCACCGCCGCTCTACTGTGGAAAATTGCCAACCTTTTCCTCCGGAACCCGGGGGTCGCCCCCCCCCCCCTCCGAAAATCCCCCCCCCCTGCTGGAACCCCCCCGCCCCCCCTCGGAAACCCCCCCCTCCCCTAACCCCCCCCCCCCCCCCCCCCTCCTCCCGCTCGAAAAACCGGGGGGTCACTGACCGGTTCGAAACCCCTCCCCCCCCCCCCCCCCTCCGATCCGGAAAACCCGGGGGGTCATTACCGGTTCGAACCCCCTCCCCCGCCCCACCCCTTACCCTTCGGATCCGGAAACCGGGGGGGGTCACTACCGGTTCGAACCCCCTCCCCCCCCCCCCACCCCCACCCCCACTCACCGCCAGCAAACGACTCCCGGTCCCCACCACCGTCCGCATCACATCCCCCACTGGTGTTCCCAGCACCACTGTCCTCACCACCGCTGTCCCCACTGGTTCCACCACCGCCCCTACTGTCCCCACCAGTGCCCCCACCACTGTCGCACTGTCCCCGCTGTCCCCAGAACTGTTCCCACCACGGTTCCACTCTCCCCACTGTCTCCACGGCCCCAACCACTGCCCGACTATCCCCACTGTCCCCACTGTCCCACTGACTCCTCCGCTGTCCCACTGAGCTGTCCCACTGTTCCCACCACTGTCCCCACTGTCCCCACCACTGTCCCCACTGTACCTTTGTCCCATTGTCCCACCGCCGTCCTCGCCACCGCCTTCACCACTGTCCCCACCACCATTGTACCCTCCACTGTCCCACTGTTTCCACCTCATTCCCATTGTCCCCACACCACTGTCCCCACCACCACCGTCACCACCACTGTCCACTGTCCCCCCCTGTTCCCACCATTGTCCCCACCACTGTCCCCACCACTACCGTCCCCACCACTGTCCCACTGTCCCACTGTCCCCACCACTGTCCCGCTGTCCCCTCACCACTGTCCCCACCAACACCGTCCCCACCACTGTCCGCACCCCCACTCGGTTTTCGAGGGGGGGGGGGGGGGGTTCGAACCGGTAGTGACCCCCCCCCCTTTTCATGATGAGCTGGGGGGGGGGGGGGGAGGGTTCGAACCGGTAGTGACCCCCCCCGGTTTTCCGGAGGGGGGGGGGAGGGGTTCGAACCGGTAGTGACCCCCCCCGGTTTTCCGCCAGCAGCGGTAGAACACGCTCTTTTCCATCATCATCATCATCATCATCATCATCATCATCATCATCATCATCATCATCATCATCATCATCATCATCATCACAACCATCATCATCATCATCATCATCAGCATCATCATCATCATCATCATCATCATCATCAGTATCATCATCATCATCATCATCACAACCATCATCATCATCACCACCACTGTCAGCATCAGCATCATAATCATCAACATCATCATCGTCATCATGATCATCGTCCTCATCATCAACATCAACATCGCCGTCGCCGCCGTCGCCACCGTCGCCACCGTCGCCACCGTCGCCGCTGTCATCGTCAACGTCAAACCTGCCGCCGTAATGAGCAGCAACACCAACGGCACGTGGAGAGGCTTCGAACGTCGAAGCGCGAGGAGCTGGAGCGTTCCCGGGCGCGAGGCTGCGCACGCGCGGCCCATACGCCCAGCGCTTGCACGATGGCGAAGCGCTCGTGCGCCTCAGCCGAGTCTGACTCGGTCTTGCCCATCGGGTCCTCGAGCGTGTCCTAAAGATCATCCTCGAAGAATTGCCGCGACCTTCGGATCGTCGGTTGGGACTGGCTGCTCTACCGCGGAAAGGCGTCGCAAGCGGCAGTGGCGGCCGCCATCTCAGCTTCCCGGCTGGCCGCGAACAGAGGGCAGGCGTGGCCGCCGCCGCGCTCCAGGCCTGGCGCCGCAACGGCCGGGACGGAAAGAGGCCCTTCGGCTTGCCGTCCCGTCTCCGACCCGAGGGGCGGCGCGGGATTCAGCGAGGGAGGGCGGAGGGCGGCAGGGAAGCCTCCCGGGACCGTCGTGGGGCCCTCTGGGAACTTTTGCACAGCTCAGAGTCTCCTGGGTGAGCTCGGAGGAAGGAGGGGGGAGAAGGAGGAGGGAGTGGGGAAGGGGGAGGGGGAGGGGGACGAGGAGAAGGAGGAGGATGAGGAGGAAGAGGGGAAGGAAGAGGAGGAGGACCAGTGTGAACCCAAGGCTCATCAAAGATGTTCGGATAAACCCTCCCTCCAAACACCCACTTCATATGTCATAGGCCCCTACAACGGTTCATTGCCATTGAGGGAACTGCCTCGTTGGAAGATAACCGTTTAAAAAACCTGAAGCATGTCAAAACATTGCTCTCCGGATTTCAACCCCACGGATCGACCTGACTGCTGCGTCTTGACGATCCGGAATCGTGCCAGCAAACTATGTTTGGGACTTCAGCACCGCGAATCAACAGAACGGTTGCACCCGCATAATCCTGAATCCTTACAAAAAGCCGTGAAACTCTTCCAAATGTTACGACCGATTGTGCGCGGCGCTAGAGCGAGATCCACATGTTGAAAAAAAACGCCCTCCATCCGTAGAACTCTGGGACATGTTGACCACAAATGTGAGCGGCGCTGAAGCGAGAACCAAATTTTGAAAGCGAACCCGCCCTCAATCCGTGAAAGTCTTGCCTATGTTTGAAACGAATGTGCACGGCGCTACGGCGAGAACTGCATTTTGAAGACGACCCGCCATCGACCCGTGAAGCTCGTGCATCTTTTCAAAACGAATATGCGCGGCGCTGCTAAGGCGAGAACCACATTTTGAAACCGACCCGCCCGCAATCGGCGCAACTCTTGGAACTGTTGAAGACGAATGTGCGCGGCGCAGAAGCGAAAACCACATTTTGAAACAACCTGCCTTCAATCCGTGAAACTCTTGTATATTCTTAGAGTACGAATGTGCGCGGCGCTGCTAAAGCGAGAAGCACATCTTGAAAACGACTCGCCCTCAATTCGCGAAACTCTTGCAATTTGTTTAAACGAATGTGCGCGGCGCTAAGTCGAACATCACATTTTGAAGACCACCCGCGCCCGCAATCCATGACACAGTTGTCACTTCTGAAGCTTCAGAATCATTACTGGTGAGGAAGTCTCAGGCGAAACGCCCAGCCCACCCTAAAAACTGGCCTCGGGGTGCAACAGGTAGAAATTATATATCGTGGAAAGGAATGAAGGAGGAGGATTGGCGTCGGAGAAGAATGTGTTGTCACCCTGGCTGGGGGGGGCGCCATCCCAGCGAGGAGCCCGCGGCAGATGCTTTCCCTGGAATATAGAAGTCGGAGGCCGAATCTTCATCGAAGAGAAGGTCGGGGTCGCGACGCCGGGCCTATCGCCCTACCTGCCGATCCCTCTGTTCATTCAACCCGAAGCATTGGCATACATCCGGCGGGAGGCTGAGGACGGGCGGGCCCGAAAACCTAGGAGCCTCCTTGCCTCTCGGTCCAGCGCTCGCCTGTCCAGCTTCCGTGCTTGTGAGTTGTGTTTGGGTGCACCAACCGCGAAAAACGCATGTGAATGATTCTTCCCTGCACCGTGGAGGGAGAGCTCCTGACCGAGACATCGGCCCTTGAGACCGCGGGAGGACTTGGCAATCGTGGCGCATTCGCCGCGAGTGGTAAAACAAAAAAAAAAGCTAGGGAGCTTTGTGCCCGTAGAGATCACAATAATCTCCCAAAGACAAAGGGCCCAATATTCCTGCGCGGCTCTGAATCCTGGAGCCCTGGACCTGGGGGGTCGTTGACAGGCCCGCCCAAGGGCGGCGTCTCCTCTGCCCCTGGCGGGGCCCTGATCCCAAAAAGAAAACTGCCCCCTTCCGTGGCCTCGCGCCCCGAAGGGACCCCCAAAAACACCACGGCCAACGCTTGGGCCCCCAGGTTGTCATAGACTCCCAGGTCGCCGCAATGCGCCTCAGCACGGGCCATGGACTTCAGGGCGGGTCTGGCGAGAGCTAAAACAAAAAACGCAGAAAGAGGCGATCAGCACCCGCGACCCACCCGCGACCCACGCCGCGACCCATGCGCGACCCACCCCGCGACCCAGCCAGCGACCCAGCCCGCGACCCAGCCCGCGACCCAGCCCGCGACCCACCCGCGACCCACCCGCGACCCACCCTGCGACCCACCCGCGACCCACCCACGACGCGACCCACCCGCGACCCATCCGAACTCACCCCGCGATCCACCCACATTGCTGCAAGTAAAAAGCCAGCGCCTAGCGCCTGCGGCGGGCTCACTGCGTAATCCCACCAGCCCTCTGGGCGTCGGTGGTCTAGAGAGCTTACTCTTCCAACTCCCTTCTTCCACTTCGGCGAGGGGTCTACCCCTCCCTCTACCCCCTCCCCTGGACCTGGACGGAGGGTTCCGCGGGCCGTTGGGGCGTCCAAGATGGCACAAGACAGCTCCAAGAGCGAAAAGGCGAGAAAGCAGAAAAACATGGATGTCCCTAGGTTTTGGAAGGATGTTGGCCTCTTTTGCGGTCCAAAAGGCGATTCGAGGCCCTCTAGAGTGGCAGGACAAATATACGACCCCCCCTTCTTTGATTGATCTCCTCCAACATGGCTCCAAGAACGCCCCGAAGGCTCCCAAGAGCGCCCCAAGAGCGCCCAAAGGGGGCCCCAAGAGGCCCCAAGAGGCGCCCAAGAAGCCTCCAAGAGGCTCCCAAGAGACCCCCAAGAGGCCCCAAGAGGCTCCCCGAGACACGCCGGAGGCCCCTGGGACCGCCAAGAGGCCCCAATGACGGCCCAAGAAGCCCCAAAACTCGCCATTGTCCTCCTCATCCTCCTCTTATTATTCCTCCTCCCTCCTCCCCCTCCCTCTCCTCCTCCTCCTCCTCCTCCTCCTCCTCCTCCTCCTCCTCCTCCTTTTCCCCCTCCTTTTCCTTCTCGTCCTCCACGTCCTCGCCCTCCTCCATATCTTCCTCCTCATATTCCTCCTCCTCCTCCTGCTTTTCCCCCTGCTCCTCCTCTTCCTCCTCCTACTCCGACGACGACGATTCCTCCTACATCCTCCCCCATTTGGGGCATATGGCGGCTTACCCCGCCCTTTGTTCTTCTGCATGCTCCCCCGTTTCCCTCATCACCTCCACTCCCGTGGGACTCATTTCTGGACGGGCTGGTGGGGATACTTTTGGTCGCGGCCGCGGGCGAAAGCGCAAGCGGCGAGCCGTAAGTCTGGGGCGCGGGCCTACGAATTGACAACAGGAGCAGACTAAAGCCGCTGACCTAAGATGCCTAAGCTGCGTACGCGGCGCCTCAGTGGACTGCAAGCTGCGCTGAAGCTGGCGGGGGGGGGGGGGTACGCGAAGCGTTTAGAATGTGTAAAGTCAGGCGCCCGAGGCGGACTTCTTCAGAGCCTCGCAAACTGACGACGTCCTCGCCGCCCCCTTACTCTTGTCCGCAACTGCGGGGTGCTACGTAGATACTTTGATACAGCAACGGCCAGTACACGCGGGCTTCTCTGGCCGCAAGATCAACGAGCCGACGTCATCGGTCCAGCCTGACTCGCTGAGCGCTGTCGCCTGGATATCCCAATCTCCTGCGATCACGACGGGGATCTGCGCGCTGGATACCACTTGGGGCACCTGGTGCAACAGCAGAATGCTCCCTTCAGCGAGGCCGATGTCGGCGCGGCCACACACTGAAACCAATCAGACCTGCAGGGTGCCCGACAGCTAAACCCGCCCGCTGAGCCACGACAGGCGGGGAGGTGGGCTCGCGGCGCCGGTCGGCCACTCCACAGCGCCTCTCAGCCACGACAGCGACGCCTCCAGACGTGGCCGACTCCGGAGACCTCATCGCAGCCGCTGCTGCAATGGACATGCGGTGGCCCGCGCGGCACGCGAAGGTTTTGGGGCCCGCGAGGTCGCCCGCCGACTGCCGATGCCCCCGGGTCAAAGTCCCTGCCGCAGTCCTTGGGCCAAACGCGCGACGGCCGTCGCCCAGGCGTTCGAGTCGCGCGCGACAGCGGTGCCGCTCAACTGGCCCCCCGCCCGCCCAGCTCGGGAGGCGCCGCTCGGCGCCAGGGCTGCAGCCCGCTCGCGAGCGGCCCGGGGTGGAGGATGGGCAGAAGGCGTCGGCCACCCGCGGGTCTGCGGCCCCCTCCCAATTTTGCTGCGACCCCCCTTTAAGGCCTGCCCAGGCTCGCCCTCTCGGCCCCCGGAGGCGGCTGCCCGCCCAGAATGCGTCGTCGCTGCGGCTCGGGCGGCGTCGCTGGGCACAGGGGCCGCGGCGCGCTCGTAGGCGGCCCAGCGCGGAGGCTGAGCTCGGGGGGGGGGGGGGGGGGGGCGTCGGCCACCCGCGTGTCTGCGGCCCCCCATCGCGAGCTCGCCGACCCCCCCCCTTTTGGACTTGGCATCTGCCCAGGCCGTCGGCCATTGGGCCCCCCGAGGACGGCCGCGCGCCCCGGGAGTCGTTGGCCCAGCTCGGGAGGCGTCGCTCGGCGCATGGGCTGCGGCCCTCTCGCGAACGGCCCAGTGCGGAGGCTGGAGCAAGGGGAGGGGGGGGGGGTGCGCCCGTGCGTCTGCGCACCCCCTCCCCCCCCCCCCCCCTTTCCGCACACTCGCCGACCCCGCCCTGTCGGGGCTGCCCGGGCCACGGGCCTTTCGCCCCCCCGATGCGCCCCGTGAAATCTTCCAAATCAGCTCGGGAAGTCTTTCGGCGCCGGGGCTGCATTCCGCTCGCCGGCGGCCTGGGGGGGGGGGGGGGGCTGTGCAAGGAAGAGGGAATCGACCGCCCGCGCGTCTGCGACCCCCCGCTCAATCTCGCTGCGCCCCCCTTATAGGTCCGCCATGGCCAGCGGAATGAAAACTCCTTACTGGCGACTGGGCGCGCCGTAAAATCCGCCCCCTGGCAGCGATCCAGCAGCGCCCTGAACGCGCCCCAGATGTTCTGCAGCGCATTCCAATGGTGGCCGGCAAACTCGCCCCCCGCCGCCCGCGCCAGGGGCCCCGGCATGGCCGCTAAACGAACGCGCCGACCGCGCCCGCAGGCCCAAGCCTCAAGACACGCCCGCGGCCGCGCCGCGTGAGAAACCCACCCGGCTGGACCTCGTTCTCGGGCTCAACCGTCGAATAAAAAGTCGCCGCGTCCGCGTTGGTCGGGCCCCATGATACTTCGCGCAGCCAAGCCTCGCGCCGCCCCATCCATGAAGGCTGGCCCATCGCAGTTTGGCCATCCAGATTTCAGATCCAACCTGGCGCCCCGGCCCGCCGCCATTGCCCGCAATTCGCGCCTGGCCCCGCCAGGGCCTGGCGGCGGCCGAGGAAACGCCTCTGGCGGAAGGGGGCCCCATGAGCTGGTCAGCGTTCAATGCTCCGCTTAGCCGCCGCCCTTGGCCGCGCCGCCTGGGCGGCCGCGACGGTCTGCTCAGCGGCGGCCGCCCTCAAGACTGCCCGAGGCCCTCCCCAAACCTGATTGGCCTTCACGGCCGCCCCGGCTTCCGCCGCGGCCGCGCGACGCTCCTCGCGCCAGTCGCGCGCCCCGCCCTCCCTGACCACGCGCTGCACGAGACGCGCCTCCGCGCGGAGGCCAACGGCGCTCTCGGCCGACCCCCCCGCCTCCAAGGTAAGGGGGTGCGCGTCTGCCCCTTGGATCCGGGTGAGCGGTCGATCAAATCGACCGAGCGCATCGAAACTCGAATATTGCATCGCCCCTGGCAGCGCCAAACGCGTTTTCGCGATCGTGCCCCCGGCCGCGCGTGGACCGATCACATAACGATCGCATTGAATCGAGATGTCCGCCCACCCAAAAAAACGGGAACGCAAGAATTCCCCGCGCTGGGCACCGCGAAGGCTGAACGAGCCGCACTCACGAGCGCTAGGTTTCTAACATGTTCCGTTCTCGCCCCGCGGCGGATGCTCGCCGAGCCAGGGTTTTCGCCGTGCGTGCTCTGGACATGCGCCAACTCAAAGAACCCTGACTTCCAGCGCCGTGAGAAACTCACGACGCCTCAAACGTCGTGAGTTTAACTCACGACGCGAGAGAAAACTCACGACATCCAGAAAAACTCACGACATGAGAACAAAACAATTATGTTAAACCAAAAACAATCAAGATAATCAAAAACAATTAAGATGTGGTTGTCGTGGGTGTATTGGCGCAGTTGTCTTAGTTGTATTGTGCGAGTTGGAATCCTTACAGGGGTCGGGCGTTGTCGCCCGAACATGTTGGGTTGTACTAGTCGGGGCCCTGGGGCCTTTGCGGGAGCTTTTAGAGCATTAGTCTCTTGAGGCCTTTTGCGGGGGCCTTTTTTTGAAGTCTTTTGCTGGAGCCTTATAAGTGGGGGCTTGTTGGAGCCTCAGCGGGGGCCATTGGGGCCACGGGCATGCCTTTTTTTTGTTTATATAAAAAAAATCACAAAGGGAGCAGTGCATCTCAACTGTTAAAATGCGCGGCACT